TTATTAATATTATAATTATTAAATTATTATTACTATTATAATTATAATTATAATTATAATAATAATAACAATAATAATTATAATAATAATAACAATAATAATTATAATAATAATAATAATAATAATAAAATTATTATTATTATTATTATTGTTATTATTCATTTAAAAAAATATTTTTTAATTCACAACATTCCCATGCACAACCAAACACAGTAATGTAATATTCCTAGGAATTTGAGAAAGATTTCTGTATGGAACCAAACACAATAATGTATTATTCCTAGGAATCATATTATCCTCTATCATTTTCCTGGGAATATGATTCCTTATGATTACCCTATACCAAACGCCCCCTCAAGGTTTTCACGAACACCAACACATGCACGATGTGAAATTTTTCAGAGAAAATTTTCCTTCCCACTCTATAGAAAACCGGCTACTGACACTTAGTAGAGCAAAAATTGTGCTTTCCAATTTTCTATAATATCTTATTTTATAGATTAGTAGTCAGACTCTTAGAATGTGTCTAATCTTTATCTTTAAAACTTGATAATTATCTCCAACTTCAAATTTAATTTTGAAACAAATCCACTTCTCCCTTATCTTAAATGGCTAGCCACCACAGGGAAATTCCTCCCTATGGTAGGCGCAATTTTGCAGATAAAGAATAGGGGAAAAATTTTATCATGTAGTCTGATTTTAACTCAAATTCAAATTCTAATTTATGTCAAACTTAAATCAATTTGAATTTCAAATTTGACAACTTATCAAATAAGTTAATTGGATAACTATAAAGAGAAAGCAATTTGAATCCTAAAGGGATTCACACTGTGTGCTGTGCGTTCACACCATGTGAACACCTTCACATGTGTGTTTTAAAAATTTAAATTCACATTTAAATAATCACATTATTTAATTAATAATTAATTCTCAATTAATTATTGTCACGCCCCTAAACCGGGATTAGTGACGTGGAGGCTTGTTTAGAAACTTAAACCTGTTTAAGAGAGTGATTAGCAAATAATGTTGCAAATATTTTAATTTTTCAAATCCAAAACATTCAGGTATTTCCAAACAAGCCCATGCATTTAAGAGAAATTTAATTTCAAGAAAGGTGGTGGAATTTCTAACCAAACCAGTTTAAAACCGCGTCCCTGGTGTCAAGTCAGGAATTTCCACAGGTGTTTAGCATACATGAATATAAACAAAAGTAAATGTGACATCAACCACAGTCTAGCAATATTTAAGCTTACAATCTATAATCTTTTATACATGCCTTGAGATAAAAGTTAAGAGGAAATACAACTCTTCACTTCCCGAGGTCAAGTCCACGTCACCGGTAGTAGCTACCTACTCCGTACTACTCCTCACGTTGCCTGGAGGGGTTTAATATATTTGAAAATAAGAAATGTGAGCTAAAGACCCAGTAGGATATAATTTTATAAAGCATTTAAAATAAAGGTACTCACGGTTTGAAGATATACACCCGAAACCGGTCATCCCTTTTTAGAAAAAGAAATACTCACATAGTAGAAAATATCTGTATAATGAAAGTGTGCAGCTCATCATACCACTAAACAATAAGCGGTAAAAATGTCTGTCTAGTGAAAAGTGGATCCGTACAGGTTTCGGGACCTGCCCCCAAGGATGCGATTCCCACATCCCGATCTCTGAGGCCACCATGCGTTGTATCATTCCTTAAAATATTTCATTTTAAGAAATGATACTCTTTAAAATCTCATTTCTAAAATCATTGGAAAACTTAATAGCATTCACATGCTATTCCTTTAAAATCATTTCCTTTAATCATGTTTTGTTCTAAAACATTTTCATTGGCTAAAATCATTTAAAGTAAGGCTAACAAGGATATGGACAAGAATATCCTACCTCTCGGATGTCAAACCTGTGGTTATCTTCACGTAGCCCTAGCTCCGCTTGCCTTTGAGGCTCCGATTCCAATCGTGCCACTAAGTTTCCCATCAAAATCAACAATTTAGAGTTTGATCTTTCTCACCAAATATTCTTGCTTAATTAGATGCAATTGTATCATATTAGTGTGCCATAGTTCAAAATCAATGTTCATAAATAATTATTAATTCAAATCATGATTCTTTGACAATGGAGATTCATTCCGGAGAATCAAATGGAAAACAAGGATTCATGTGGCTAATCCACTCATTTTGAGTTCTCAAATGAGGTTAGGTCAATCCCACATCGAATTTCGTGGTCAAAACAGGGTTTTTGGGCTGTTTAGGGTCGGGTTCAGTGGGAACTGGTCGACCGGTGACAGAGGAGGGTAACTTCACCGGTCGGCCGGTGGAGGGGTGACCGGTCGACCGGACCGGTTGACCGGTGGGGAGGATTTCCAGGGCCAGCCATGGCTGATCCGCATGAAACAAAGCCAAATCCTGAAATTTTAGGTTCAATTTCGACATATTTTCAAGGAAAATATATAGATCCAGTTTCAAATCAACAAGTAGGGTCCAAAGAATCAAAAACCCCCTAATTTTCATCAAGGTTTCATCAAAATGCATTCGAAATCCATTCGAAAATGAAATTTAAACCAAAAATCACCAAACTCGACTAAAACGAGTTCCATAAGGCTAAATCCGAAAATCTAAAGTAAGTTTCAAAGAGTTTTACCTTGATCCAAGCTTTGATGTTAAAAACCTCTTGAAAACCTCCATTTTTTGGTTTAAATCCGGCCCTTGAGAAAGAAAACTTGAGAGAGAGAGAGATGAACGAGGCAGGGAGAGGGGGAAAGAGAGAAAGCTCGAGATAGAGAGAGGGCGAGTGAGCTCGAGAGACTGATAGGGAGAGAGAGAGAGAGTGTCCAGACACAGAGAGAGAGAGGGAGAGTAACGTGAGGAAGGGAGAGGATAAAGAAAAGAAATAAGGAAAAAGAAAAGAAGAGAGAAAAGGAAAAAGAAAAATTGGAAAGAAAAATATTAGGGAAAATAAATAAAACAAAGAGGGATGAAGCTGCAAATACCAAAAATAAATTTAAGAGTTCATGATTAATTAAGAAAATCAATTCAGGCACACTAATAAACCACAATTATCATAATTAAACAAGTTTAATTCTGGAGAGCGTTACAATCATCATTGAGTGTTTTATTTTAGAATTCCATAATTCTAAAATTTTCATTTTTCCCTTAGTGTCTAGTAGGATTACATGGATGACGCGAGGACTCATGGACCTATAATTTTGAGCTCCAGTAAAATTAATAATTAATTAAACTATTTAATTAATTAATTAATCTTATTAATTCTAATAGTTACTCCATTATAAACTTAGAATTGCACTCTCGTAATTATAGATATAAATTTCTTCTAAACTGTGAAGTGTCCATGTGATATTGTCACTGCATATAGATCAATCCTCCATAAATAATTCATACTTAAAGCTAGGTGAAATCCGTTAACCTCTCTAATTACATCTTTATACTTGAGTACCATTGATTCTTTAATGGACAGTGATTCATAAAATAAATTCATGAATCAGAGCTCCTACTGGTCCAAGTATCGAATCAACCATCAAGAGAATTATTTATCTACTTCTTTCTCAAGAAGGAATGGATTCCATCTCGTATAATAACATTTCTGGCTACCTACTTCATCATGTCTCCAAAATACAAGGAATAAGATTCAGGATCTCAGAATCCATACCGAGTAAATCAAAAGACACAAATTCATAAATATGAGTCTGTTAAGAACTCAAGATTAAGATTATTCTATATATGACCATCGGTAGACTCAATTAGAATTTCTATACTTAACGAAAATTATCAGAAATTCATATTGTGTCTGTGTCCTTATTCTACATAATCTCATCATGCGTAATACACTCATTCAATATCTCGGCATATTAACAGTGCGGATAACACCGTTCTATTCTAAATGGGAATGCCATGTATTAATAATGTTTTAATTAAAGATTCTAAACTTTAATTAAATTCATTACGAACACCGTTTTAATTATTATCCTTAAACATTATCCTCTCACATATAATACTTATATACAACGTTTAAGGTCGCATAAATAATCATGAAATTTTTTATTGATATTCACAAATATATGCACATAAAATAATAAATAAATTTTTTTATTAAATAAATAATAAATATCATATTACTTCTCATACTTTTAAAACATCATTCGCAACAAAATGCACAATGACTTTCTTTGTACTCTTTTATATATAGTGGAAATAAATGTAGTACGAGTGAATTACTGGACTTAAACATTGGTACTCCATCTAATTTACACTTATTATTAGCAACTAACTGTTCGAGGGCCTCCATTGTGACTCGATTGAGTGTAGAGTGAGTTGAAGCAATCACCACTCCAGCTTAAAGCTATAAGTTTAAGCTGGACTAAACAGGCGGACTCAAAACTCACTACTGTTGACTTGGGCCCGGCCGGGTCCTATCCTCCATGTTGGGCCAGGCCAAGATTTGAGACTAAATGTTTATTTATGCTGGCCCGACCCAACTCAAACTCGCTCTTTTCAATTTTTTGAAAATACATTATAAACTTTCAGGCCAAACCAAACTGGCCTTAAATGAGCCATTTGCCTAGACCAAGGACCTGAACTTTTATCTCTATTTCAGTCCAATCACATGCCAAGACACGGCTAAATATATTGTTTTTTAGTATAAAAAAAAAAGAGGTTTATTTTATTTATTTTTAATCCGAGCTAGCTATTGTTTAGCCGCTCAATTAATGGGGCTCGTTACAGGGCACATAAGAACTTTTTTTTTTGTTTTTCTTTTTTTCCTGAAGATCGTACCTAAAAAAGGCAAACAATTATGAGGAATAACACTTGCCCATAATCCACATGCCAAATAACCGTGAGAATAACACTTTCACGATTTTGGACTTAAGAAGGCAAAGAACCACCTGCCCACCTCCCACCTACTTGGTCCGTTCTAGTGTTGTTTGTCAAATTGTAGAATTTCAAAGCCCAAAAAATGCTTCTCATTTTCTCAAAGAAAATTGCTTAATTTTAAAAGTTTATAAGTTTGAATTTTTATTTTTTATTTTTAATTAGTATTTTTTTATAAATATAATTATTAAAAATAATATATAAAAATTAAGACTCATATACTTTTAAAATATATTTGTCAAGATTTATCTCAATTCTTCAAAGATTGTTTGTCTAATTTTTAGTTTCTTATGTCCAATTTTTTTTGAGATTTCAAATAGTGTCTGTAATTTTTTAAAAATGTATCGCGATATAATTATTTAGACACAATTTCAAACATTAAATTTAAACATATAATCTGAATTTAAAGACATGTTTATTTCATATATTTATATTTAAATTATTACTTCCGTATTTTTTTCACAAAAAATTTTAAATATTAAAATAAAAAATCAAGTTTGAATATCCCTAGCCATAAATTCTTCGGTCTCATTATACGTCATAAATAGGCCTCCGTTACAGTTGCCTCTTTTTCCATTTTTTTCTTTAACTTGGACCAAAAAATTAGTTGAACAAAACACATAAAACGGCAACGAAAAAGACTTGGGAAAGAGGTAGAGAAGGGGCTACAGCTACACAAGTTCAAAACCACGTCATTATTCCAATTCCAATTCCTAACCACAGAGAACCGTCACTTACGTGTCCGTCTCTCACTTGTCGTTGGATTGAGAGGTACGAAGCATACCCCCTTTTCTCTCTCTCTCTCTCTCTCTAGCCCGCTTTCAAACGCCCCAATCGAAATGAATATTTCCCACCATGTCGTTCTTCTTTTTCGTCGTTCTCTTTCACTATTAAAACTCTAAAGCCTTTCCGCCGCAATCTCTGTCTCCGAGTTTGGCCGAAACCCTTGCGGATTGCCGGCATGTCTCCCCCGCCGCCGGTGTCTTTCGGAAACTGTGCGAGTTTCCCCAGAGAGAATGGTAGCGCCGGCGTTGACCACCGCGAGTCCGGCGACGCGACGTCTGCGCATTGCAACGGCGGATCCGATCTTTCTGCTTCTTCCTCCTCCGGCGGCGTTTCGGTCATGTACTGTGATTTTCCGTTCAACGACTCGGAGAAGCTGCGACGTGTCGTGACTGCTTCCGCGAAGGGATTCTCGATCGGAGCCGGTCTCAAAGGCGGTCTCGCTCTGTTCTCGATTCTCGCTCGGTTGAGGCGGAGAAAGGCATTGGCCTATCTAAGGTGAAGTCCTGGAGTTCCGCCGAGGATTTGGATTTTCGATCTTAGTGGGAAGATTCTCATGCAGATTTGTGTTTTGGCTCTTTTTTTTTTTTCCTGGTTTTCAGGAAGGAAGGTGCGATCACGAATAGCGAAGCAATCGTAATGGCTGTGAAGGAGACGCTGCGATATGGTTTGTTTCTCAGCACTTTTGCCGGCACATTCGTCTCGGTAGATGAGATTATAGCTTCTTTGGGAGGTCACCGTAGGCATGTTTCTTCTTCTTTTTCTTCTGAATTCCTGTTTTCAAAGCCTGAATTTTGAATCTGAATGAAGTTCAGACAGACAAATTTGCTTCTTCAATTCTAGTTCAGGACAGCGAAATGGAGGGCTGTGTTAGCCGGGGCTATTGCGGGACCGTCGATGCTTCTTACTGGGCTAGAAACGCAGCATACGAGTCTGGCTATATACATTCTTATGCGAGCTGCCGTGCTAGCCTCGCGCTGCGGGATCAAAAGCAAACGATTCGGCCGAATTTGCAAGCCACTCACCTGGGCGCACGGTGATATCTTCCTCATGTGTCTTTCTTCTTCCCAAATTCTGTGAGTAAAGTTTTTCACTTTGTATTAGATACTTTGTTTCTATATTCGTTTCTGAGGCTGTAGTGTACTTTAACTGAATAAGGAAAACAAAAACTATGTATTGCTCAGGTCTGCTTACATATTGAAGCAGGATAGTTTGCCTCCTTCGTATAAGTCGTTTCTCAATAAACATGGTGGAAAGGATATTGTTATTCTGAAAGCTGTGAAAGAGATTGCATCCGGAATGCCCTTTACTAACCTGCAAGCAGTAGAGAAATATTACAATTCGGTCGGTGTCGACATTAAACTAGATCCAAATATGAAAGTTCCCTGCTCGGTATGCAATCTTTTTTTTATCATTCATTGCATTGTTTTCTTTTCCTAAAAGAAGATTTGTATTGAGGACGCATTTGATTTGCATTCAAACTTTGCCGCCTGTGTCAATATTATTATGTTTCTTTGATTTCTTAAGCTTTTGAGCCTCTTGTGCAGATTGTACATGGTAACCAATCGTGCAGTGGGCATATTTTTTCTTTTCTTGTTCAAGCCTATAAGAGAGCGCTACCAGTTTATCTACCAGTATATCTGATTCCCGCTCTCATTGTTCACCGCCAAGGCCTCTTGAAAAGGTAACTGCTTTCGATTTTCTTAACAGATCACGAATTTCATGTCTTGATGCTTTGAGAAATGAAATGCGTTCTTGTCTGTTTGTTGAATGTTCCGGAACGTGTTTAATAAAGCGGGTTCAGTTTTTAAACGTTTTGTTAAGAGAAACATTTTCTCAAGGTTTTAGGGTTTCTATACTCTCTTTTTTTTTTTTTTTTTGAGCGGGGTTACCTTACTTTTTGTTGAACGAAAGAACATAAAATTCTCAAATGCCTGGAGCAAGTTGATGTAATTCTATGTTCATTTCAACATGGAGCTGTCATGGCTGCCAACTATATGCTAACAGGAAGATAAGCTGAACACTTGTTTCTGCCCTTATTTATTTATTTTTATTTATTTTTTTGTCAAATTGAGTCCTGGGGTTACATACCCTTATCTAGATTATAATTTGATAAACATATCTTTTAGTCTTTTGTTTTTCAAATATTATTCAAACATAGGCGAGAAAAAATGCTAAAACGTATTGGATATATGTATATCAGCGATAGTCTTCTACAGTGATTATGTCCTCTTTTCTTTTGTGTGGATAGTCTTAGCGACGTCTGTTTGCCATGTGCAGGCCTTACACAATACTAGGTAAAGGTCTTTTTGGTACTGCAAGATCAAGCTTGTTTCTATCTGTATATTGCTCGTCAGCCTGGTTAGCATCTTTCACCTACCTTATGCTTTTAGTTTTATTTATATTCTGGACCTCAGCTGGTAGAAATAAATTTATTTTGCTGATATATAGCCAGGAGCAAAGGAATGGAGTCTGATTTGTTTGGTAATTATATGCAAATATTAGCTTGTAAATCTTCCGTGTTTACTTATGAGGTTCTCTACTCTTTTTGTGTTTTTTGCTAGCCCTAGAATGTGGACTAAGCAAGATTAGGCACATGTGCGGTGTTGTATTTTTTTTTTCCCCATACCAAAAGGGTGGGAAACATTATAGTTTATGTGGATGTGCATTTTCTGCTGATGGTTTTCAAGATTTATCTCTATGGAAATTTATATTTGGTGCTCTTGATTTAGAAAACTCTGTTTCATTGGTCATCAGGGCGTGGACGTGCTTTCTCTTTAGGATTTTCAAGAAATGCAACATTCCAATGGTGGCAATGGGGACGGTATGGTGTTCCCTTAAACTTCTTAGTTCAGTGGTTGCACGAAAACATGTCATTTTGATAGTCTTCTTTCTGTTTTTTTTTTTTTTTGACAGTTCCCAACTGGCCTGGCCTTGGCCATTGAAAAGAAGACCAGACGGATGGAGATATCACTCTACTGCCTTGCTCGAGCCATCGAGAGCTTCTTCACGTGCTTGGCAGATGCTGGGTACTTGCTGCAGTCAAAGAACTTGAAAAGAGCTGATGTTGTGGTTTTCAGCTTGTCAACAGCCATCATAATGCACTGCTATGCCCAGGAGAGGGAAGTCTTTCGATCGAAATATTTGAATGTTCTCGACTGGGTGTTTGGCGTCCCGCCTCCATCGTGCGAAACCCCCCGTTGCAAAGATAAATAGGATCAAGTAGGTGCGGCTTTTGGGTTCAACACAAATTTTGTTGAATTCTCTTTGATACTTCTCCGGAGCTGATGGGAGAGTCTTGATGTGCCTTTCATTCTCATTATAATTACATCTAATATCAGTTAGTATAGAAGTGGGTGGCTCTTTGTACTAGTTTGTTTAGCCATTCATTGCTGAAAAAGAAACTACAGCTTAGAAATTCTTTGAAATTTATTAACAATGTTGATTTCATACAGAGTAGTACTAGTGATTTTTTAATTTGCATATGATGTAGAATTAATTGTGTAAATGAAAAGTATTAGTAGTAAAAGCTTTCAGAATGTTAGAACAGTCCAAGAATCCAAAGATTTATGAAAGTGCTTATCATTCTTATTATCTGTTTGCGTCATGTTGGCCTTAGTTCCTTATTCGCATCATAGCAGCCTTTTATTTCCCTCCTCACCGGCATGTCATAGTTGTGAGCACCGCCAGCTGGACCGCCTTCTCCGGTGATGGTAGCAGCGGTGGTGATCAATATAGAGTTGGGGTTAAGGTTCTATTTAGTCTGGGATTGTTCTGCGTTTTCAATAAATTTAGGGTCAATATTTAGTATTATTTACTAGGTATATGTCAAAATTTTCAAAAAAATTAAGAGGGTACATTACAAGAATGTAAGCATATTCCGCTCAAAACCATATTCCTATTGTATTTGTTTTCCCTTCTCTTCTATAATACTCGATCACTATAGAGACTAACAGCTTGAAAATGGATCGGTTTCTTTTCAACAAATAGTTGAGCAAACTAAATCCTGCATAATGGAGAAATAATTAGAGTTGCCAAATTTTTAAAACAATAAACCTGGAAGAAGACTGATTAATTTGTATAACGAGTTTAAGACATCTAAAACGAGGGATTACATGTACAAACTGTCTACGATTGATGAAAAAAAGAAAACCGACAACAAAACAAAACACACCTCGAATTTTTTTTGATAGCCGGCGATGAGATATGAAGAGGTGCTACAACAAACTAGTATTCCCAGTAATCGACGCAAGGTATATGAAATGTCTGAGCTCCGCTTGTTTAGTTCGCTGATTCAAGTTGATATGTGACTTTATGTGAGTTTTTTACTGTAGTAAAAAAAATTAAAAGTGACTGTTTCTGAGAGCTTTTTACTGTAACAAAATTCGAATTCTAAACTCAAATCGCTGAAATGAATGAGGCCTTATAGTTTAATCTTCTCTCGTGTATGGTAGTTTTTTTTAGTATAGTAGTTACTATCCTCCATCATTTTCTGTCTATTATGTTGTACTTGGACAGGTATTTTATGTCCATCATCATTTTCTGTCTACAAAGTTTTTATTTATTTATTTTAGTTCTAATGCCTCATTTGGAAGCCACTTATATTTTGCTAGTGTAAAATAGTCCAAATTTGTTAAGAGCAAAAATCAAGTGTATAAACTAAACAGTTGTGAATGTTGGTCATCTACTAACATTTTGCTATAGACTACTATTCAAAATCAATCGTGATACAAAAAATCGAAAAATTATAGAAAATAGTCCGATTTTGTTTAAATGTAAAATTCAAGTTTATTAACGGGCTATTTACATTTTTATACCATGTGTTTTAAATTTAATTCAAAAAGTATATTTTTAATTTTTTATCTCAATAAATGTATACTCTCAAATTATGTTTAATAGATAAATCGAGGAAAAAAAAGACAAAAGAGCCTTTTTTTTTTATCCCTCCAGTTGCACTCTGTGCTAGCAGCCGCGGTAATACAGAGGATGCAAGCTTTATCCAGAATGATTAGGCGTAAAGCGTCTGTATGTGGCTTTTTTAAGTCCATTGTCAATCTCAAGGCTCAACTTTGGACAGACGGTGGAAACTACCAAGCTAGAGTACGGTAAGGGCAGAGGAAATTTCCTCCTTTCTCAAAAGGCATCGATCCGTTATCTCATAAGAACTTCTAATTATTAAAAAAGATTGTAAGAGTTTTGATCTATGTATCAAATCAATCAAGAAAAGAACTCTTCAAATTTTATATTTATATTAATTTTAATACGATATATTCTATATGTTATATATAATATATTAAGTTAAGGCCTGAATATTGATATGGAATTCATATCATTATTCTTTCGAATTATTCGTCGACGTTCACACCCATTGGCCCTAAATGAGCCTGCAAGTTCAGGTGAATGTGAGATCGGGGTTGGTTGGCGTGAGGGTGGCTGTGGTGATTCAGGACAAGAGGGTAAGCGATTAAAAAACCAATCTGGAGGAAGGCCTCACGACGATGAATCCGGCATGGGAGGGGTACTGTATTTTTTGTTTTTTTCTTTGAATTTTTAGATTTCTTTTCCTTTTTTTTTTTTCTTTCCTTTTCTCTCTTTTAAGTTCTTTTTAAGGTGCGTTTGGTTCATGAATTAAAACTATGTGATTAGAATTATTTTCGATTTACGTGTATTTTTTATGAGAAAAAATACTGTAACAAATCACGAATTATGATTCGAATCAGGAAACGAATCCATCTACCAAACATCACCTTAATTTTTTTTTTTTAACTATTAATGAGAACCAAATCTCTTTTTTAAGTTCTTTCTTTAAATTTTTAGATTTCTTTTCCTTTTCTTCTTTCCTTTTCTCTCTTTTAAGTTCTTTTTAGTTTTTTTTTTAACTATTAATGAGACGTTTTCTTTTTAGTTTTTTTTAACTACTAATGAGACGTTTTTAGTATTTTGAACTATTCATTATTCTTATTTTTAAAATTTAAATTTTTTATACAAAAAAAAAAAACATCTCAAAAAATCAAGAATGAAAACAAACAACCCATAATCTAATTTTTTAACTAGTTATTAAATCTAATTATACATTTTACGAAAAGGTACACTTTCAAATAAACTTAAAATTAAAAACTCCTTCAAGTAAAATAACCTTTTATCTGAAAGAAAGAACTCAGACCGTATCAATAATGGGCCAAGGAGTAGCAAAGCCCAATAGAAATTTGAACTAGATTTGGTGGGGTGCGCCAGGCCCGTGCAGTAGTGCAACGCACGGGCGACGCTCGAGGACCCCAATAGCAAGCTACCGTGGTGGGCCCTCCCCCTTAAAAAATTAATTTAATATCATGTGGGTGAATCACCCACGTATCAGATATTAAACTGATAAGAACAGATACTACACTTGATCTTAGCCAAAAGGCCGAGAAAGGTATGAATTGTTCTGTCATTGGGCCTCGCTTTTATACAGCATTCTTGAGACTCCTCCTTCTTATCTTGCCGATGTGGGACAATTTGTTTCTTTAGAATTTCACTACTTGTTATCTTACGCCATTGCACTTGTAAGTGCATCTTCGATTTTTGAGCCTCTAAAGAACAGTTTTGTTGTGTGAAAAAATGTGGATGATGAGTAAAAGAATAACAGTGTGACACGTGACATTACTTTTTTTTAAAAAGTAACAACCCTCAACGCTAAGGACTCCCTTTCCTTCTGCTGCAAAGAAAGCCCAACTTAGGACGCCGACTCCTCATGACGACGACAGGTCGTACTGTCGACCTTGCGACAGAAATCCCTCGGGAGAAAATCAATTGCCAAGAAAGACAACTAGGCTAAGCAAACAGAGATGGCGAGGGGAAAGCCTGACATTGCAAGTTGCGTACAGAAGTGGAGGATGTCTGCAGTGCAGGCATTAATTGTAAACCCTTATACCTCCCTATGGGAGACAGAAAAGGGTTACAGGTACGCACAGAGCCGTAATGAGAGACTAATTGGCTGAGTGAACAGTTCACAAAGTGATTAGTGGGCTTCCTGAGAGAAAAAATGATAGAGCAACAATTGATGTAAATTGTAATAATCTCAAAAGGAATATAAAACTACAGTAGATGTAGCTCTTCATTAATAGAGTGAACCACTATAAATTTCGTGTGTTCTTCTATTTTAAGCATATTTTTCTCATATTGCTCACTACTCAAAAAATACCACAAACACTTTACTGCATAAATTGAGTATACAGTCAATATAAAGCCGGTAATCTAACGGGATACCTAGAAGTAATCCGGCCTATTTCTGTTGATGAATTTTCACTGTCAACAAGCTTCTTCAAGTGTGTATATATATATTGAAGTTCTGATATAATGTCTTCAGAGACGTAAGAAGTAATTTATTGGTCAGTTATATTGATTATTCTCAATCATTTCGGATGGATTATGTTTTTGTTGGTTCAATTTTTTCATTCAAGAATGAGACCCTTTTTTTTTATTTCACAAAGTCTCACTTGAAAGTCACTGAAATCTATAGCTAACTTTTTAGTTGGCACAAATATAAGACTCATCTACATCTCAAAAAAATAAATAATAATAATAATAATAAACATAACACACATCTAACTCATCCAACCAGCGATTTTTAAAGTGTTCTTAGAAAACACGAGACAAATAAATAAGGAAGAATAGAGTCTCTTCCTTTTTTTCTTCCCTTTGTGCCAATTGGCTGATAATCATTTGGATCATACAATTCTTAAACAATATCAAACATTATGTAAACTTTAAGTTTGCCCCCACATGAACAAACTTGAAAATAACACATCGATCCAAGCCTTCTATTGTAAGTTTAAAACATATATGTACAAGCATACATACAATATATATATATATATATATATATATATATGAGAGCCCACTATCCGAGCAATGTTTAGATCCCCACTTGCAAAGTTTTTAGTTTATTTTTTAGGACTTTTGTTAGGTAATAATAAAGAACTTATAAAGTTGGGATTACACCGCCATTGGACAGGTTCATTAAAGATTGTTTTGGAATTGCATCTAAAATTTGGTGGTAATCAAGTATGACTATTGAATTCATCTTCTTAACTTAAAGTCAGAGAACACAATCTTTGACTAGACAACTAAAATAAAATAAAAGAGATAAAGACAAAGTTTTAATCCATTTTTAACTAATTAAACAATCAGCACAATAAAATCAGTCCCATTTCCATTGCAAAAGGGTCTTAAATCCAGTAAAGGTTTGCACAAGTTTCTTAAGGAAAAAAACACATGCGACTTAAACTCAACAGCAAAAAAAAAAAAAAAAAAAAAAAAAAACAAAATATTGTAACTTCAATTTCAAGCCTAAATGCCTTTGATTTGGACTAATTTATTGTGTAAAACAAGTTATTAAATAAACTCAAGACTATTAAATTAGTATGAAAAGTACTCTCATAATTTTAAGCAGAATTCATTTATCCTAGGACCCAAAAAGACATTCTTTGTTGCATTGGCGAATAAACTAATAACCCAAA